AGTATCCACCGAACTAGTCCACCTCCTACGGAGGAAGTTGACAAACTCAGAATTTTGCATAAGGCATTCACTCATTTGGTTCCTTCTTGTGACTAGTTAATTTGTTACTGTCAATAATAATGCGCTTTTCATATAACATAAGTTACTTGAGAACAGACCGGTTCATAGGTACGGTCCCTCTGGCAATATGAATCCGCTGTCATGTGCACTGAAACCAAGTACGTTAGACGTCTTTATTTAAGGCATATAGAAACGAGTCTAAGGAAGGGAGGTTAACGTTTCGCAGACAAAAAAGAATAAAATGGCTGAATATCGATATGATCGTTCGGTTTGGCGAGGCCGCTTGATTTCGAGATTGGGAATCATTCGGCCGTTTTTTCAGCCATCTAACTTTCTTGGGGATAAGGAGGGTGGCACGGCCATGACACTGAATCTTATGCATTCTCCATGAACTTCTGATAGCATGTTATCCCCTGACAAGTTCCATTACCAGGATCCAGCATTATTAAAAAAGTTATTGGTTAGACCTGAAAAATGAATAACAAAAGCGGTCACTAGGCCGAACCCAAGATACAAGCACAAAACTACTAGCCGGAAGTGCGCCGAACACAATATATGTAGGTGAGTTGACCGCACTGGCTGCAAAACTTACTTGATGCCGTATCCTAAACCAACTGTTTAGGGATCAGCTTTTAGGGAAGAAGATGAAAGTACACAGGAAGGCAATGAAAGCGAGGCTGAGGACGAAGATGTCGCTATGCAATAGAGAGAAGGATGGATATGGAACTATGGAAAGGGCTCGCTAACGTGCAGAAGACTGATGTACACAAATTAATCGAAGTTACAAACTTTTGAATAAAACTCATGCTTTTGCCATGGTGGTAAACACTCCATTTAACCTGGGAGGAGATGACACCTGTGTTGTCTTTTGAGCATCATATATCAGGGCTACGGAGGAAACATGGGGCGCATGGTGGGCTGAGGTGGTGGCCAGGGTGAATTTCTATTCTCATTGCATCCCGTCTTCATTTTCTGCTACTTTTCGCAGTTTCTGTTTTGCGTTCATAGACCATCACAAGTGCATGAGCCGCAAGTTGCGTAAAGACAATGCCATTTCCACGTCTTTCTACCTGGATTTTTAAGTATTTTTATGCTACGCTCAATAAATTTAGTATATCGCATCTTCTAGTGTAGCCCAGATACCGACTGAAAAGGTCCCTTTTTTTCTTCAGGACCAACCACCTTAAAGGGCACTAAATGGAACAACTGACATCGCACTTGATGTGAATGGTCAACGACGGCAGGTGATGGTAGCAGTTGCAGTGAATACATTTAAGGAGGGGCTAGATCTCTCTGGTGATAACCACTGTAACGATTGACAGAGGCTGCTGGTCCAAATTCCGTGCAACTGAAGAGCAAACAGGGCCTAACCAAAATCACAGCATACAAGCCAGCAGTACGTTTGAAAGGAAGAAGGCCCCATAAAAGAAAGACGCAATCACAGACAAGGGTTTGTTCTACCGTCAGTGATTCGGGTCAAGTTGCCCCAAAGGATAACCGTATTTTCTTTCGATTGGTATTCACGACATCGGGTTATCTCGTACAAAGCCGAAATTGGGTTTATATCTGGATCACAGTCCGTCAACGCATAACATGTATCATAGCTCCACAACACTGGGAATTTTCCTAATACGAACATCGTAGGTGTATATGCCAGCCACCAATTGTGTGACTATAGAATACCCACGGGTTCCAGACTGAGAAGGAACCCAACTAGGAGCCAGGTATCGATAGTGCATTTGACAGACCACCCCAAAATGCCGACGTTCTCCGACTCACCGGGTAGAGGGTTGCGGGAGAGAAAAGCAGTGTAATTAAGCAACGTACCAGATGGTACGGATGCTTAAACGTGTGCCTTCAACACGTTCAGTCCATTTAAAATATTTCGGCTAGGGTCAATGCCGAATTTCAGCGGGCCTCAAGGGTTAATTTTCGACAGTCATTTACCGCTGCAACGTCTTCCTTCTCGGTCTCAGGACTCCCTCCAGGATACTGACATGCCTTCCCAGGTGGACTGGTAAATAACATTGTTGGCGCCAACATGACATCGGATGTCCTACTTGCAGACCCTGAGGAAGGACTCTGGAACAGGAAAGCTAAATTGCCAGTCCACGGTGCGTGGTACTATAGAGGCTTGTTTGGCGCCTCTTGGGTGGTGCGAACTGGCATCGGAGGTTTCCATCACGTTAAAACCGAAAAAAATTTCGGTGGTTCTGTGTGAGGAGTAAGTGCCTCATGGACGGCGGAGGACCTTCTGAAATTCAGAATCTCAGATGAACATCGTTTGACACCCCTCCCGACTACACTCTAAGCCTCCGTCCTCTGACCCATGCTCCGGGCATCTAGGGCAACTTTTTTCAGCAGGTTTGTATTCGCCTAGCGATTCGCGGCCGTCTGTGGCTTGGTACTGTCAGCAAAGATAACTAACAGATAGCTCGACCTAAATGGGGGTTCTTTCATGAAAGCAAGTGTTGGGTCCTGAGGAGGTTTTCCTGAGAGGCTTCTGAAATAAAAAATTGTCCAGGTCTAGAGTACCCCACTCAGTCTGGTTCCATAGGGATACTCTTGTTGACGAAACAGTACGTCATCGGCCATCAACCGGAGATTTTTAATGCGATGATTTCATGCCAAGGAGTGTCACAAGACCTTGAGAGCCTAGGAGCAACTTCATGAACAGGGATCTAAAGACCTAGTCTGTTGTTCACTTATGAAAAGCCACCAGAAGGTTTGTAATATGCGTAGTGCGCAAGGTTTAGGGGAATATGATAGCGTATGGTATCGCCAGCAGTCCTACTCACACAAATTCACTCTTTTATAAAGTTTATCTTCGATTCTAACATAAAGCGATATCCTTTCAGAAGTTAGCGAGAAAACCACTGGAAAAGCATTCAAGACAACTCCTTCGCGGCAGAAGTACACAAACTATGGTATTCCCACTCTTAGAAGCTAGTTATGCCTGCCTCTCCGGACCTCTCTAATTAGGTGCTGGGTATTTGGTTTGTCAGCAGTTGGACTGACGGCGCGATAATATGGGTGTGGGCCGTCCTTGGTTAACCGTCGGGGAACGCTAGTGACGAGAATAAGACAGCACTGGTGTTCTCTCCTTCTTTCGGAAATGCCAGCCATAGGGCAGTTTAGAACTGTGCTGGAGTTGACAGTGGATAATAACATATTTATGCAGTAGGCTTGGGAAGAAGCTAGAGTTAAATTTGACGATACGGTCTTACTGTCTCTCACGGCTGACTCCACGTAGCCATTCGGATCACACCGCATGGGTTGATAAGATCATCTTGACACTTGTAACAGGAAGAGGAAACGACTGTGGAATTTAGTTTTAGAAATAAATGGTGAGACCATTAGGAATGACATTGATTTCATTTGTCCGACTGCCCGGTGAGCGATCTTTCTGCTAACGAGCGACATTAAGCCTTGAAAATCCCCTGATCCTGGTGGCTTCCACCTAAAGACAGACAGACAATACTACCAGGCCGCTTGTTTAACTATTCAATACGTCCCTATGACAGACTAGCCTCCAGAGAGGCTGGAAGGGAGCTACGATCAACCCAGGTTTCAAGGCTGGTGGCGGGGAGCTGGAATCGGATTACTGCTCCATTAAACTGAATATTATAGTTATCAAGACGTTTCGGAAGATTAGGAGGAATAGGAAGCTTGGCCATACTAAAAGATAAGGTCTTCTCTCACCGTTACAACACAGGCTTCGTGGCAGTCGACCTTGTTCAACGCACTTCCCCATAACATGTGAGGAATGGGTGACTGGTCTTGACAACAAGACGTGGTCATCGACTTTAGTAGGGCTTTCGGCAGGATGTTGCCCACTGGACTAATCGATGGGCCTCACGATTCAGATATGGATTAAAGAACTTCCGCGTGATAGCAGACAGCGAGGGAGAATGGAACGCTACCTAAGTGGTAACCTATGAAACATGGGGTCTCCCGAGGTGTAATCTACGATCCTTCCCTTTTCTTGCCCCATGCCAACAAACTCAAAGATATGATTATTCCTCTAGCGCGAATATCTGCGGATGGTGTGGAAGTAAAGAGGGTTATACATGGAGATGATGGCAGAGGTGCACTGTATGCTGACTGAAATAGACCGGTAAAGTGGTCGAAGCATCTGTGTCTGTTGATTAATTCTTTCAAATTCGCGGTCATGAATACTGACCGAACCAGCTGCCACCAGTTGTTTAAAAATGGGACACCACTATATGACGTTCATGCAGTAGAAGACTCTGGGGTTGTTGTCAACCACAACCTGAAGATGCCTGAATACTGCATCGAAGACAAAGCAAACGGGTTTCGGTGAAGTGATATCTTCGCTGAGCATTCACATAATAAGGTGACACCGCTCTGGGCTTTCGTGCGACCCCATCTCAGATACTCCATTAAAGCGGCCGACCCTCGCAAATGCTCTGGGGTGCGTCCAGTCTTTGTATACACAAACCGTGCAACGATGACCGCTTAGAGAGACTGAATCTTTTCCCATAATCTTATCGTAGGAGGAAAGGGGATCTAATAATGACATTCTGCATCCCTAAAGGTGATCTTGGAACCCATACATTCTATTTTTTGCTGCTTCGAGAATCGATCTTTCTGGCGGCCATCCACAGATAACTCTGTCATCACAGTAGAGTCAACTGTGTATAGGTTTACGCTACTCCTCCAAGGCGGTCAGCGACTGCAATTCCTTACATGAAAAACTACTACTACCTTCCATATTGAACACACTCAAGGAGAAACTGAGTCTTCACAGAGAAACCTATTGCAAAGGTCAGCATAGGTCAAACTGGTTTACTATCCTTACTACTGGAAACTGAACCTAATGAGAAGTTTTATGAAAAAAAATCTTTTTAAACTCAATTTATATTGCTACAGAAAAATAAATTAAGAAGTTCTCGTAACTCTCTTCTAAAATACAAGGCCAGAAGATAAATAGTAGTTTGAACGCGTAGATTTGTTACAATGTGAAGACGCACATTATCAAGACTACGTTACCGTAACTTTCGAGACGCAGGCCTTTCCATAATGAGTACGTCATCTACAAGCAAACCAAAGACACTAACAGAAGAGGAAATTGTCGAGGGATTTAATCGTTTACGTTATGAGCAGCGTTCGATCGCTAGCAAAATCAATGACCTGGAGCTTGATCAACGGGAGCATAAGTTAGTTTCATGTAACCTATTTTGTCTCCAAAACCATTACTTATCTTCACATTGTAAGTTAGATCCTTAGTTTGTTCAAAAGCGTAAAATTGTTGCAGTTATACCTTATTAGATTCAGTGGTCTCAGGTACTAACAGTTATTTTCAGCAGCTCAAACATCCTGCCACTTATAAGTGGTTATAGCCGATTTTACTTCCCTGAAAATGCTGGTATTCCACGTTCTCTGTCGAAAATTGATCATAAAGTTATTAAAGAGAGGTTTCTAGCATAGTTTAGGTATCTATACGTAGTGGCTCGGTTTATTCTGTAGAAAAGTATTGAAATACACTGGGCGCGTTTGGCCTGTAGACGATGAGCTACTCCTGTTGTGGGGGTTAGCGATGCTACCTGGCTCTCTAATCTGTGAAAAGCTTAGCAGACTTCGACCTCATCTTCCACCGGTTGTAAATCGATTGTCTAGACTTTTGGGCTGCAGCTCCACTTTATTCTGTAGATTTAACACAGAAGGTACCATACTTAAGATGTAAAAAGTGCAGTACAGGTGTGGCTGATTATCAGCCATCTGCTGCATCCACATCGTTGGGTTTAATTGGATTGATTATTTAAATCCGTGGTGCTGACGTTAGTATTTCCTTAGCCTCGTATATATCTCAGACTACATGCGCTAGGCACAACATTTTTAACTTTATGCAGATTCTCTTGCATCTTAACCTTTCGAGGTTTGAAATCTAGTGTACCTAACCTTCGTATATAGGACACCAAAGTCCACCATTTGGGAAGCGTAATCATCTTAGTAAACTCAACAGTGAAATTTTTCACAATCGACTTTGAACACGTATACCTGCAAAAGGTGGCGGCAATGGGTTACTGCAGACAGTTATTTAGGTATATCAAGGGAACTCGCGAATAGGTCAGTGGTTAGCGAGACTATTTCGGAGAAGGATGGGTGTGGTCCCCTCAGGGTGGGGGATTGAAACGATAGGCGGAACACTTCAAGAAAACGTTCAATTGGTCTTCAGCTAATATTCCGCTGATCATTATCCAGTCGGATCCTGAATGGAACATCGAAATAGGACCCCGAAAGCTTGCAGAAATCGTGAAGGCCGCAGGTAACCTGAAACTAGGAAGACTAACACAGTCAAACAGACCACTCCCAGAGGTATATTAGGACAGTGATAGAGGATTATTGATTAAGTTAACTAAAGTGTTAAATAGCGTCTGGGAATCTGATATGACCCATCTGACTGGTTTAAATCACTGATCGTCCCAGTCCCCAAGAAAGGTGAGAGTTATCTGTCAACTACAAAAAAACCAGCCTAACGAATATAGTGTCTAAGATCCCAGGTCCTATGATCGTTAAACGTCTTAGTGGAGCTCGGGAGCAACAAACCCGATAAAACCAGGCAGGCTTCTGACCTGGTCGTAGGTGTGTCGACCAGATACTCAGAATCCACCAGCTTCCGCAACACAGGCCTACTTTCCAACGCCCAGCGCTGGCTGCATTTCTTGGCGTGAAAGCGGCACTCGGCCCAGTCGATCGAGAGGTCTCATGGCAGTGTCTCTCACTAAAAGAGATACCGAGTGAATATATCGCTCTATTGAAGGCTGTGTACTCGAACACCTGCGGGTGTGTGGTGAACTGTCAGGTGAGTTGCATATATCAAGTAGTGTCTGTCAAGGGTCTCCACTCTCCATTCCTATTCAGTTTTGTCACAGGCGTTCTTATGGAGGTCTCGCTCTCGTCATCTGACATCACAGGGATTGATCTTATCGCAGGAGAATCTTCGGTAGACCTACAATATGTGGATGACATAGTCCTGTGACATAAAGATGCAGCTTTCTGGATACCTTGAGAGGCAATTTAAAAATGTTTGGGATGCGTTTCTCGCCACCAACATACAAATTGTTGCTACAGTGGTCCCCTCCCTAACTGTAGAGATTGAAATGATTGGGCGCTTTAAAAACTTCACTTACCTGGGAAGTTGGAGCAACCCTGGTCGGTCAGTGTCTGACGAAATCTTTGATCATATACAAAAGACTCTACTGACTTTCTCCAGGTTACACCATTTATGGCGCCACCGTGATATCCGGTTGTCTGTCAAGGGTCGAGTGTAGCGTGCTGCCCTTCGGTGTGTTCTATTGTTTGGCTGTGAAACATGGCCATTAAAGGTAAAGGACAAGAGGTTTCAAGTGTTTGACTGCGGTTGAGTTCGTAGCATCGGCTGTCTCGTGATATCAGGTCGTCAGTAATACAGACGTCAGGTGTATAGTTCTAATAAGGAGAAAGTCAGTTGCTGCGGTTGTGAACCCCCGTCAGCTCCAGTGACTGGGATGTGTGTTACGCGTGTCTGTTCATTGTCAGCCTCGTCTCACACAATGTTAGCTGAAGTCAACTTAAATTGGAGAAAGGTTAAGAGCGGTCAGATAAGATATGGCATCATTGCATGAAGTCTTCGACTGTTGGTCCGAGCCGTGTATAGAAATGTAGATTTTCCGGTTGGGATCCGCGTGACAGCAGAAACCAGTAGTTATAGGCTTTAGGTGATATGGCTCAAAATCGATCTCAGTGGCATGCATATGTCCACACATTATCCTCATCTTAATCGTCTTACTGAATTTCGTTTTGTGACTTCCTACCTAGGCCTATATTGATGCCGATGTCATCTCATGTTTCAATTCACAGTGTGTCGTATGGTTCAAAATCGGTCACGGTGGTGCAGATGTCACTTTCAAAGCTTTTAATACTTTCATTAACCCCTATCTACTTATTTCCTTAACTTCCCAACACTTTTTTATACCTAATTTTACTCTCTATAAACTTCATTGTATGCCACTGTAAATTTCAACAACTTCAAATGACAGACTTTTGCACTTCTTTATACGTTAATTTATCTTTGTTTGTCTGGCAAGTCGATTGATGAGGTTATGATTCTTGATCAACTGAGGTGGCTTGTACATTTACTGCGTATGCGGAGCCACCGCCTATCTCGACGTGTCATGCTAGGGTCATCTAGGCTAGGTTGGAGAGGTCATGATGCATGAAGTTCTCGACTGTTAGTGAGCCATGTGAGGATATGTAAACTGCGTGACCGGGGTCTCCGAGATGATAGGAATTAATTTGTGAGGAGCATTGGTGACATGACTGAAAATCAATCACAGTGGCTCAGATTTTTTCACTCTGATGTCTTCTAAAGTTTGAATATTCGTACTAACCTTTATCTGCAAATTTTCTATTCTCTTACTCAACTTTGTTTACTTTGATATCAGTCTTTCGTATCCACTTGTTCTGTGTGTGGTACTGTGAAGTGTAGCAACATGAACCGATGCACTTGTGCGCGAGGTTCTACCTTGATTTTGTCTGTTTGTGTAAAAGACATACCGGTCTCCGGTGCATTCACTGGGCATAATGAATCCCTAATTGGTAATAAGGGGATTAAACAGCATACGAGTATACGCATCTTCTTTGGATATCAGTGCAATTCCCCCATGATCGCAGATAGGCTGAAGCTGACGTCAGTTTTCTGTAATGCGTATATAGTCTACAACGCACTTCAGTAAGTATTTGTCGAAATACCTGTTTCATTATCTATTATATTTTAAATACAAAGGACAACATTGATACCGGAAGGAGCATTACAGTTTAAAATCAAATAATCACTCGCAATATTTCCAACTCCATTCGACGTTAGGTTCCAATTTTCGTAGTCTTTTGGCTATAAAAATTCCGGTTGGTTGATATTTAGTAGATGTTTTTCTCATTGTGGCACCAATTAAAAGTGATGACTCGGATTCCACGGTAGTGTGTCAACAAGACAGCAAGACTTGTTCGGTCTTATGTGTAACAAGCAAAGATATTTATTAACGGGATATCAAGAACTGTTAACCGCAATTATGATGACTAGCAGCTTTCAATTGTGCTGTAGGATCAAAACTTGTAGATAAAGTTTATCAAGTAAAAATATCGTCATAACAGGTAAGTAGATTGAAAGAAAATTAATCTTTTGGTGCCTCATGCTACGGATTTTGTACGCATAAGAAGATAGCACACTCTATTTTCCGAACAATGTGTAGCATAGGTATCACAGAAAATTATCAATATATTTTACTGGACTACATTCTAAGTCAAGTTTCCAGATGGGATTGCCGTCTTTACAATAATCTTCATAGCTATGTCCTTGAACACGGTAGGAAAATTGGTTGACTTTTTAAACAAACGTTATGGACTCGGCCATCTGACGACTGGGTAAATTTACTCGGTTCTCCATCAACAGCTAATGACTGATTCGGTAATAACGTTGACAGCAGTATTTTTCTAATGCGAAGTGTTTTTTAAAAGTTTGAAGTAGGCACTCACTTGGATTTCCCCTGAATAAGGTGGTTCATAGTTGCTTTTGATTCACATAGTCTTGATTTAGCTGTTATCATTGCTGGTTGAGTTCCATATATTGATTGTTTAAACTTACACATGGTTGAGAAGTAGTTCATTGCACTATGTCCCTGCTACTAGATGTGTGAATATATACAAGTTGTACGGTGAATATATGATTGTATTGTATTTCATTTTGTGACGTGCTAGATTGAGTGGTTTGTACTTAGGTGTACAGAAATCGTTACTACTCATCCTCACCTGCAACCTTTTCGTCATGATTTGTTACGTAGTTTCGCTATCTGAAAATAGTTGTACGTGTATTTGAATAATTATTGTAACATATTAGTTTCTTATGAACTTCTAGCTATCATGTCTGGTTGCATTGCAAATTTCAATCGTTAGATAGTGGAACGTTGAATATTAATACAAAAAGACTTCACGATGCAACGCCATCTCATAAATTAGGTTAAGTAAGGGGTTTTGAAGTATGTTGATAAGTTCAATAACCTAGTTTCACTCTGGTGAGTGCTGTGACAAAAGATGTATTAATTCAAGCCGCTCCACTTTACGGGAGCACACAAAAAAGTGAACAGAAAAGTAATGATATAACAGGCAAATCTAATGAGAAGGGAGGAAAATTAAATAAAAGTTGATAGAATGTTCGAAAATTCGATTATGAAAAGCATATACATCTGCATGTGCTATTGTGACGAATTTTCAGTCTTATTAGTAAGTTTTTCTAAACATGTATTCCTGTAGGTTTGAGAACCCCAGTCAGGCAGCCTACACTTTCCTACACGGCTCACATCAGCTGACTGGCTGACAAAATCAACGTAGAACCTCGCACTGACTCAAGTTGCCATACTTCTCAGGAGTACACAAAGAACACATGGATAGAAAAAGTCATATCAAAGAAGATAAAGTAGTGTGGAAGAATAAACAGTTTGAAGATAAGGTTAGTGCGAACATTCCAGCTCTAAAAGATATCAAGGACTGAATATATCTGCGCTATTATGACTGATTTTCAGCCATGTTACCAAGAGTCCTCAACCACTGATTTCTTTCGTCTCCAGTCTCCAACCAAATAGTCTACATTGTCCAGACAACTCACACCAACAGTCAGAGACTTTATTGACGTGTCAATTCTTCGTCTGGCCACCCTGAATCCTTTTCTAACCAAATCCAGCTTCCCCTAGCATGGTACATCGAGGTAGGTGGCTCAGCATGCACAGCACATATCCCAGCCATCTCAGTCAACGAAGGTTCACAACCTCATCAATCGATTTGCCTAGTACACTTCGCCTGACCTCAACATTGCTCACACGCTGATTCTACCAAAGGCGACCAATACTATAAAGACACATGTGATCTAAAACGTGTAACCGCTTCATGTTTTGTACTTTTGATGGCTATGTCTCACAGCTGTACAACAGGAGAAAATGGAATGACTGCAGCGCAGTTTACTTGTCCTATGATAGATAGTTGGATATCTCGCTGGTGCCACAGTTGATGCAAGTTCACAAATGCTAAACAGACCTGTATCCGATCTAAAATTTCGTCAGCAACCAGCCCGTTCGAAAACGAAAAGTCGGAACGCACTCAGTTATCTTATACACACTCGTGCAGTAGACAATGAGCCACACATGTTGTACGAGATCTATTGATGCTACCAGACTGCCCAAACCCCGGTAAATGGAGCGCGCCTCGAACCCACGGCCAATGGTCGGTAGTCACCTCCCCAAACCACTGAGCCACAACTCCGTCAGCCCGTTCGGGCTGATTTAACTCCCATGGTAAGTAAAGTGGTCGACACAATCCTCCAATTCACTCCTTATAATTAAACTTGGAGTGGTTGCAGACCAGTCCTGAAGCATAATCTTACATTTGACAGGTGCGAAACGCACTTCAAACACTTAGATTTCCGCTCAAAGTGTGCAGTAGACCCTGCATTTTTTCAGTATTTTCACCTAGTAGGACAATACCATCTGCATATTCCAAGTCAACCAGATGACCTCCAGAGAGTGGGTCATTCCTTGTGAAGCCAGATGTACAAAGGGTCCTGTCAATTAGTATGTCTATGACAATGTTGAATGGGGACGGTGACGGTGGGCATCCCTAACAAACACCACTAGTTCTCGTCGATTCACATGAAAACTCTCCATAATACCGTACAGGGATGCTTAAATTCGAGTAGAGGGCTTTGATTAGCGTTATATACTTATTGGGTACTCCCTTAACAGTCAGACACATCACGATCAATAGCGTCAAACGCACCTTCAAGTCAGTGAATATGGCAAGTGTCGGCCATTGGCCTGTGTTCCAGAACCTGTCGGAGTATGAAAGTCTGATCGGTGCACTCTTAACCAGGTCTGAAAGCTACCTGATTTCCTCTTGTTTGCTCTTCTTGAGCTCCACTTAGGTGTCGGATAACTATGGACCCTAGAATCATGGACACAATATTAGTCAAACTAATTCCCCTCTGATTGTCACAAAAAGATTTCTCCCCCTTATTATAGACTGGGATGATCAGTGAAGTACACCAGTGTGACGGCACCTCCCATTCCCATACACTACCTAGTACTTCCGTCACTTTAGTCACCAGTTTCCTACTTTCATCCTTAAAAACTTCTGGTGGCAAACTGTCAGGTCCTGGTAATTTCCATTGGTTCAGGTTCGATACCGCTTTCTCAACTTCAAAGAGATTTGGGGGACGAATACCTATATCCTATTCACGTTCAGGCTGGATCTTGAACAACTGAAGAGTTTCTGTAAGCCAGTTGAACTGTGCTTCTGATTGTCCTGCCTAACGTTCCAGCCGCCTGTCCTGAGAGGTTATCAGTGTCCCCCCCTTTTCGATGATGATTTCACTCACTATCGTCTTCTTCTTGCCGGTATCCTTAACAAGCCTTAGTAACTGCCAAGTGTAACCCACGACTGATGCTTTCTCTATCTGTCTCGCTTTCGTCACCCACCACTGCTCGTGATTGAAACAAAGACCCCTGTTCAAGTTACATTTGAGTTGCTTTCACCCTTTATCGTGGTCAGAGCCAGTTGGAATCAGTCTTTCACCAATCAGTTCGGATGACGGGAAAATCCAATGACGCTTCCTAACCTTCGGGTGTGTGTTACCAATTGTCTTTCCCGCTGTTTCTACTCCAGACTAAATGTCACGGCAGGTTTCCCCAAGATGAGTATGGTTGTCACATTCAGATAAATGCTTAGCTAATTCCTCTCGAAATGCGTATTTGATGTCCACATCTAACAATCGAGCACAGACGAATCTCACTACCTCCTGTTTCCTGTGACCAGTCCTAAACAGACATAAACGAGTCTGTACTAGTGCGTGATTGGAGTCCAGACTGGTACATCAAAAAGAGCAGTAATCCTCTCCAACGGTGGCTTATAACAATGTAATCTATCTATTTCGACCGCAGACTACAAATAAGCATCATTTAGACTCATGACTCTTCCTAGTCTTTACAGATCCATTCAGTCGAACAGCACATAGATGGCTGTTGAATGGTATCCAGTTTTCAACTTAATGTTACACCTGCTGCAGTGAGTCCATGAGAGCTAGTCATTGGGTCTCCGGATACTCTTAAGGTGAATTTTGAAGACTGACTACGATGGCCAGATGAGGTCAATTTAATACTGACGCTTAGGTCCTGTGCACGTGTCTCTAAGACGCAGCATCCATCCGTGTCTAGAGACTCCAGAGTTTTGGTGAGCAATGCTTGCTGTCCAATTTGGTGTAGAGTTCGAACTTTGAAAGGTTCTACATGAAATCGATGGTGAGGTTTTAGGAGGCTAGGAGTGAGGTTTTAATGGCTTCGATCGTTGGTAACGGTTGCAGTCTAAGAGGCTGGGTAAGACGCAGTAAGTATTAGTAGGTAAAGGCAAAAAAGAAGACAGAGTTATGGAGGATAGGATGTGTTTGATTGAGTCTTGTGTACTACTAGGAGCGTGTAGGCGGCTGACACTTCCAGGCAGCCCACATCATGCAAGTGTATTTCTTCTTAAGGTGCCTGAAGGAGAAAAAGATTTGTGCGACTGCAGAGCATATGGGACATCTCCTTGAGGTCTTTTGCAGGATTTTGTTTTGAGTTTTGGTTGTTGTAACGCAGGATAGGAGAAACCCATGCCACCGGCACCGGAAGGCTGTGGGGCAGGTGAAGTGTGCTATTTTTGAGGCTGACCTTTTCTAACCCCCCTTCCTGTTGAGAAGGCGGTATCAACGTAGCACTGCAGATCATCCAAGGGCAACACTTTACTGCTGTCACACTCCATCCAGCTAGCGGCAGTACGACTTGACCCTCAGCCACCATCATAGTGCAGTAATTTACACTACAATGATAATTGATTTTCGTCTTACCCCTATCCAACAGGCTTGTTGCAACTTTGCAACACTCCTTAGTTCGTATCGAGTACATTCGTATGCATAAGTTCCGTATGCGACAGATCATATAACGCTTACACGACACTTAATTAAGATAGAAGCAGCGGTCTGTGGCGCAGGTATATCCATCGCTGTTTGACTCATAAGCCTAGGGACTTGACACTTATATGAGGTATCCCACCCCAACTATTTCTGTCTAAGCCATATATATATATATATATATATATATATATATATATATATATATATATATATATATATATATATATATATATATATATATAGACGAGCGAAACGGTGTTTAGATTATTTTGATTTGGCTAATGAAATTTATAGATCAGCCTGAGTGATTTCCGACTACTCGAGTTGTTTAGTAGTATGTTTCAAACTGATTCAAGTATGTAAACATTTTGTATAAATTGGTGTTAAAATTGTTTTACGCTGTAAGCAATTGATGATAATAAAATGGATCCATGCCATTCCGCTGAAACTGTTGTTCTCGTCCTACATAAATTCATTAAGCGAAGGAATTTGATGGGTTTTTTTCTAATTCTAGTATGGTCATTAAAGTGTTGCAGTCCGTCGAACCTACTCGCAAGTGTATGCGAATGATAGACAATGTACTGATTGAACGTCAGGTGAAAGATATTCTACCAGCACTTGAAGCTAGTGTACAGAAAGTAAGCATAATTAATCTCCTATATGCATATTTAGATGTCTGAGTGTATTGAAACATTGTCAAAACAATTTGAAGCAAAAGGTCGTGAACTTCAACGGTACAAAGCTGAACATAAGATAAAAATTGCTGGTGAGAAAGAACCTACAGAATCGGAGAAGAAAGATACTGTATCGTCATCATCTGGTGTGCTAGTATCCTGAACATTTTATTGTACATAGTGTAATCACTGTGAAATGTGATCAGGAATATATACATATATTGTCGGATATACACCCTCCTTTATAAAATACAACTAATCTGTTTCCATGATTGCAACAAGTCATTCATGAAATAAAACATTATTTCTCTTCGGCTGTTTTTGTTCTTTTTGTATCCTAACTAGTGCTTTTCTTTCCTTGTTATCTTGTGACTATATGAGTTGTCTGTGGTATATTGTTTATTGACTAATTCAGTGTGAATTTAGTGACAAAAGCCGGTGTGTTGATCACCTGATTTTAGAATTATGCACCAAGATGTTACATTTACAGTTCTGTTTATTGTAATGTGCTGTTATCCCGCATGAAACTTGGGCGAAAAAGTCATTACTTGTTAAGTCAAACCATGGTACCGATTTATAAAACGTCTGACTGTTGACATGAGTGAAAGTTTGAGTCTTTGGTTTAAGTACGTGACTTCTGACGGACGGGTTTCCAAGTTCAGTGTCTGTTCTACAGACTTCAGCTTGTGCAACTTTACACTAGCATGGTACCTAGTGTACAAAGATCCGATAGGTATATGACTATTCCTGTTCAAGGGAGGAAGAATTGTAACGTTGTCTACGAAGAACTTTTCGTCGATGAAGTTGTAGTCCAAGCGAGATGGGCTTCAGGTGCCTTTCCATCTCCCTACTGATCTCACATTTCCTTATCGTCCCAGTTCTTCAATGAGGTTGGAGAATCAGGCGTCAGCAGGTTCATCGCTTCAAACTCATGTATGATTTATAAGATTGACTCTCTAGATCGCCTAGAATTAGAATACGTGTATGTCCTAGTCTGAGAGAGCAGCTAATTGCATCTGACATTCATGTATTTTACTGAAAATCCACAAGTGGCTCCCTGTAAATGTCTCACACTAAACACTTAGCATTCTTAGGAAGCGTTATATGGAACCAGACAGAAGCCTCAGGATAGATTTGTAATTGGGAATTTGGTGGGTTGTAATAGAAAACTTGACGTGGATCTCTATCCTACTCCACTTTATCAACAGCTGCGTCGTTGTAGAATAGCTTGGTGTTAGCAGCTCTTGATCTGAAACTTGAATATGAACTTGTTACAGTAACGTCAATAAGATGAGTATCATCCTCTTAGCCCAGCAAGTTTCTCAAGCAGACTTTATGCGTTTCTGCGACTGTAGTTTGTACTCTGTACTGTAAATACATGTGGACTCCTGATGTGATGTGTTACCATTGAAGTGTTTTTGATGGTCACGCTAGCGACTGCTAAAATAGCCAATCAGCTTCCGGTGTTTTGTCTGAGAAGGTAATTTTTTGGAATAGACAAAATTAGTTGTTAGGGTAACCTCTATAGTCACATTGTCACTTTCTATGCACCACGTGATACAGGTGGAAGCGTACATCTGTCTAGGTCATGTCTGACAATGTCCATATTGGCTATTGTTATTCCATGACCTTGACCACTGTAATCCTATTGGCTATCATTTACATACAAGTGTCTATCTAATGTAACTGTTAGTGTACTGTCAGTATTTCATACTGTACGATTGGAATTGTTTGTTTGGGGGAATTGTGTGAAATGCACATATTACAACTTCAATCCTTGTTCTCCCCTGCGTCATTCCCTAGTCCCAGATCTAGACAATTTTATGTACGGATTAACTAACTGACAGTTCAATTTCAAAAACAGCACATGTCATATTATCTGGTTTGTGAAATTGATCATTAAGTATGAGGAATGGGAAACTGTCTAGGTGTAGTTTATCGATGGAGTTGTTCCTCACCCGTCGGCAACATAGCTGAAAATTGGTCACAGATTAATTCTCTCTATGGTGTCTTCGAGGGCTAACCAACACCTACCTAAACAGCGTCATAAATTGAAAAAGCACGTTGCACCTCGAGATGACTCCGTGATGGTCATGAATTTGACCGGAAATCATTTGGAATAAAGCAAATCATTATTATTATTATCACTTACCATACAATCTTCAGAATAAGAACGGTGGCTTTTTGATGAAATATCTACACCAAAACAAACCTAGATCACATCATCAAAATTAGAAGACATATAAGCGACCAATGTTTTTCTTAATTAGCTCTCATCAGGCTTTGCTGCAGTACTCATACATAAAATTCATACTAGGTGACGATTAAAAGTGCAATGAAAATTTGGACCGCGGCCGGACTCGAACCAGCCACCACCGGGTTTCCGGCCCGATGCTTTACCAACTGAGCTATGAGGTCCAATTGCTGACGAGATTTTTATTTCACTTCAATCACCAAGGGTTGGGATGAGAAGTTCTGACTAGGTAGGCAGTGTGAATATGATCAAGGGGTAGTAACGCGTCAGGAATTCACATGTTAGTCGGGTAAAAATCATTAGCGATTGAGGTGAAATAAAAATCTGATCAGCAATCGGACCTCGTAGGTCAGTTGGTAGAGCGCCGGGCCGGAAACCCGGTGGTCACTGGTTCGGATCCGGCCGCGGTCCAAATTTTCATTTCACCTTCAATCATCACCCAGTGTATATACTTGTTTGCCAAACCATGGCTATTTCAGATAGTCAAGTGAGAATCATATATAAAAGATTAAACTAATCATAGCGAATTCTTTAGTCTGTGGTAACAAGGAAATGAAGTTTACAAGTAATAAGTATCCACATGATGATAATTATCTCAGCGATGATAAGAATAATGGGAACAGTGTGGTACTGCAGACAAACAGTGTAGGTCAAAACATGGAAGAATAAGAGTTGCCTAGTACTAAAGAGTGAAGTATATCGATGATCAAGACATGTATGTCGAAGGGGTGAAGAAAAGGAAGGGGACGAAAAACTGGATTTATCTTTGAAGTCATGTATTACGATTTCTCTGATCAAGCCAGAGATAAAGATTACACAAGTTTTTTTTGCCCAGAATAGGGTTATTTTCTCTAATTCCCATAGCCTCAGTTATTTGTAATATGCGAATACGAACTATATTCAAAATATTTTGTTGAGTGCAGTAGATGATTTTGACCACCGGTATTACCTATTACATAACGAGCACCGACCAAATGCGACAGAAATGAACTTCGTATTGACTTCCCTTTTCTGGTCACGAGGGCAGGTGCTCAGCAACACGTTAATTAACCTACCTACTGGTATACCCGGTATAGCTTAAATTGGTAAATGCACATAGAAGTGACAAAACTGGGTAGCGTGTATTTTGTCCAGTAGGGATTCCCAACATTTTGTCAGAACAATAATTATCGGCCGACTAGAAAATGATCTGCAAAGATTAGCATCAGAGAAGGTTCTTCTGATGATTCTAAACACCCTCTGAAATAGAATTTCAGGTGCGTCTCCTTTAAATTGGAGCTTTATGGATAATGATCTCTTAAACAGTCATTTGTTCGAATTTCGTACTCATTTTGTCATTGTGTCTCCTTTTAAAACTATAGGGGTAGCCCATTTCTACCGGCATATTATGCATGTATTCTAACTCCTTCTGTATCAAATTATCGGAGCACGTCCTTCTAGCTTTGCTTGCAAGACGTTTAACTGAGCTTCTTTTATACTGAATGGACAGAGAGCTAGAGAAATGTATGCACTGATCCGTCATCTTTTTTAATCAATTGAACATCTTAGAAAGGTAATATATTTTCATGTTCTTCTTCACATGTGAAAGAGAAGTGTACTTTTTTATCAAGGACAGTGACAGTGTCGTCAATACAGCGTTTCTACATAACCAGATTATCGTTGATATCTTTCACCGATTCTATCTCAAGTTTAACAAGAAAAAAAATCAGCTAGTATTGAGCCTAATAGTGAACTCATGGCTATTCCATCCATTTGTCTGTAGTATGTATTATTAGAAAAAATGCACATTCATGGTGCATCGTAGAAGTCACTGTTTGAGACTAACTGCTGGATGTCCAACATTGATCTGTGTTTCCGATATCTGTTGACAAATGAATTCCAATGCTTCAATAAAGTGGTACACTGATAAGTGACGAAAAAACATCTAAAGATATCATATGTTTCCCGTTCATATCCACCTTTTTGAACTTAGAGATGAAGTCGAATATATCTTTAACACTATTCTTTACAATTTGTTTGTGTAGAGGTTGTAGGACACCGATTAACCACATCTCGATTTTATGACTAGGGGAATTGAACATATCTAAAATCAAATGAAGAAAAGTTTACACTTTTTGAATTTGAGGTAGGCAATATAATCGCGCTGTGTAGCTGTGGCTTTAATTGCGTAGTATGCAGTCACATGTGTTATAACTGTTATCAAAACCAGAAGTGTAGATCTTGATAACTGAATTACTGCTGACGGCCTCTATATTTCATGAAGTCAAACTTAAAACTCTCAGATAGTCAAGTGATAATCTTGATTAAGCTAAGTTTTTGTTCTTTGTCATTCTAATAGACGCTGGTCGACAAAATACATTTGGTCCACGGCTAATAATTTTTTGTAAGTGCTATTTTCTACTCACTCCCTGTGTCTCTTCTTGTCGAATCAAAATGGATGAGGAAAAATCTCACGTGAATGGTTGCACGAAATCGAAAAGCACTATAAAACTGGGTAAGAGTTGCTTTATTTCCATGATGAGTGACGATACCGTCTGAAGTGTTGTAACCGAAAACGAATCAATCTTTATGGGTCATTTCTGTCTCGCTACATTTCCGTCTTCAGAGTCTTTGAAGGATGCCGTAAAGGATTATGAGAAGCAGACATACACGCACTACTTTGTGCAAGATTTTCATAAAATAGAGAAGTCTAATCGGGCGGCTTTAAAGGCCACTCTAACAACTGCCAAAATAGTCGATCAGGCTATGGTATTTCGGCTGGGAAAACAACATCTCACAGAACAGAGAAACGTGATTAGTTGTTTCATCAGTTGCTAGGGTAGCTTTCAAAGTCGCTCCAAATTTTTATTTCTATTTCAGCAATTATAAAAATCAAGCCTCATTTAAATAGCTTAAAGAGTGGCGTATTTAAAGGCCACACTAGCAACTCATGCGACAGCCAATTATTTTGCTGTATTTTATGGAAAAGTGCTGTCCCAGATGAAGTGTCAAGCCTGATTGGTCTATTCAGCAGTTGCTAGGGTGGCCTTTAAAGTCATTCGTGTAAAGTAATCCTAAGGCCAAATAACAAGCAAAGTTAGATTTTCATCACAAAAAGATTGATTTTAAAGGCCATCCTAGCGATTGCTGAAATCACAAATCTGACTCTATTTTATGAGAATCTGCCTTTCCGACTGGAATGAAGAAACCGAATTGCTTATTTCATATCTATTTCCTGCCACTATTTAGTGAAATGGCAAATGAATGTACTACAGCAAGCTGAGCTCCAAGTTTTTTCTCATCATCATCAAATTATGATGCAACGTAATCTAGCCAATTTAGAA